CGAATAATGTTGCGAAGTCTAGGGCATGGAGAGGAGTTAACAAATGGCCATTTATTGCCAACTGAAATAGATAGTAGGATGACTCAGTAGTGGAGTTGCACACGCGCTATTTGCCTTTGGTTTGGACGAAGGTCCCACAGAGTTCCAATTGAGGCCAAATGTTGATAAACAACTGAAAGCGTGATTAAAAGCACGATGTTTGTTGTAGTAATACGTGTTTATTGGGACATGACATAGTTTGGTCGGTGTACACCGCTGATAAGACAGACAGTCACATGAATTGGCCCAGAAGGTAGAAGCGGTAAAAAAAATCGGATAGAAAAAGGATAAACTTTTTGAGATCTCCTGATGGGCAGTTTGTATGTAGACGAGTAGTTAAAACACTTGGTTGGTTTTAACTTCAGCGAGTGGAAAAGTCCTGTTAAATTCATTGATAACTTTTCTAAGAACTTTCACGTTTTTCCTTGTTTCCTGGAGATGGTTTGAAGTAGTGGTGGGAATGGAAAGTTGAACGGTACTTTAGCAGTAATAAGATCTGTGTAGCGCCAGTGATTTCTTTGGACGCGGGTCGTGGATGGAGCAAAGGCGTGGCAGGCGTGCGCGTGGGGGTGCGGTGCGCAGGTGCTGTGGAGGTGTGCTGGCGCGTCACCTGGCGACCTGCAGCGCCAGCTGGGGGCGCTCGCGTCGGAAGGTGGACGGCGCAAGGAGCGCCTGCAACACGTGCGCGACTACAGGTGCGACGACGCTCAGTACTTCATTGCGTTTTTTAACACAAGACGAAATAATTTTTAGTTTGTATAATTGTGCGTTAATTATCTTTGATACGTATATGTTGGCTCTGGCCTAAATTTTTCAAACCAATGAATAATTCTCTCTATTGCTTTCTTCATATTAATTTTTATTACATATTCATAATCAATATTTATTAAAATATTTGCAATAAAAATCAATAAGAAAGAAAGCATATGCGTGAGTTATTCATTTTTTTGAAACTGTTGGCCAGAGAACAACCATACGTATCAAGAAAAATGGTATCTATAAACAAAAATTTTAGTTTCGTAGTGTATTATAATCACTTACGAGAGAGAGATAGAATATATCAGTCTTTGGTGTTTGCCTTTTTCAAAGGAGCTCATGTATTATTTTTAATTTCAAATGTAAGTAAAACAATTGTGTTAATAGTAGGTCTACCTCAACTGAAGAACAATCAAATGGACTGTTAGATATGGTTTTAACTCTTCTTTACAGTTTCCTTGTAGTTTTGAGATATATTTAATTCTGACTAGAGTATAGTGTGGTAGTAGCAACAAAATTGTGGTAAGACCAGACAGAGGGCTGAGTTCCCTGGGCACTTGGGTGAACGATTAGCACAAACTGCCTTCAAACGATTTTTGCCTTTCAACACCAAAGCGACACAGTCAGATCGCCTGGAGTGGCACAAGCTGTTGCGCCAAATTAGTGTAGGGAGGATTTCGCGTTTCATCCTGAGCTCTCGAAAAGCTATAAAATTCATTAGAATTCATTGTTTCGTAAGCGCGAAGGAAAGTTTCTGGAACATGAGCGGTGGAGGGGAAGGAGTTTTTGGGTTTTATGAGAACTGAGCACTTACATTTTTCTGTCAAATAGAATGCTCGTCTAGCCTTGAATGGATATTATGTCGGCTTGTAGTTCTCCTTCTGAGGGTGTGGGGTTGGTTGCCCGTAGGGGGCCGGTTGCGGAGTGGTAGACGGAGCTGGGGACTTTAGGCACCTCTACAATTCCAACGGTACTTAGTCTATTGGACTCAAGTAGAATGTCCTGGCTAAGTTTCAAATGTCTTCCTCCTGTGGGAGCGGAGGGGCTGAGGGGAGGGGATCGTGAAATGCAGCTGCTTTAGGAGGTGTGCGGTTAGCGGTATCGGGACAATTTGAGGGTCGAATGCCGAATCGAATTTGCGTCGACTTTTCAGGAAGAAAAAATATTTTGTAGCTTTTCCTCGGGGGAGCCGACTGGCAAGTTGTACGAAGATTTTTTCCAAGCGTTTCATTCAGCCAACAGCTCTGGGATTTCTGGATGAGAATATGCACATCTCGACCACATACTAGACACAAACACTTACGGGCTCCTCTGATTTGGTGCCCCAGAGTCAAGTGACGTCGCAGTTGGCACATGTGTGGTTACGGAATGAGGGAAGGCCTGTGGAGCAGTGGTGTATGACGGGTTGTGGTGTTGTGGCTGTTTGCTCAGGGCATCACGATACGAGAGGTTGCGTTGCGGGTGTCGTGAGAGTGGTCGTGTGGACACAGAGAGAATGCGGTGCGGTGCGCAGGAAAAAAGCGGTGCGAGGGCGTTGGCGGTGGCGCGCAAGTTGGGGACACGGTGGCGGCGGACGGGCGCGGCGCGCGCGGCGGTGCGGGACGAGGAGGAGCGGTGGGGGAGGTGGCGGGAGCTGCGCCGACCCACCGCACCCGGCGCTCAGCCGAGCCCTCTTGCACGCGAAGCGAAGCTACATACAGCGGATGGCCGATGGAGCTAAGAGCGTGAACCGTCGCAGCGCTTCGGTAGGTTTGTTTGTCAGTTTATTTGCTGGCCCCAAATCAGAGGAGCCCGTAAGTGTGTTGGTGTCTAGTATGTGGTCGAATGTGCATCTCATCCAGAAATCCCAGCTGTTGGCTGAATGAAAGCGCTTGAAAAAATCTTCGTACAACTTGGGCAGTCGGCTACATCCCCCCCCCCTCGAAGAAAGAGGTACAAAATATTTTTTCGTCCTGAAAAGTCGACGCATTCGATCGGATTCGACCCTCAAAGTTGTCCCGATACGCTAACCGCTACACCTCCTAAGCAGCTGCATTTCACGTCCCCTCCCTCAGCCCCTCCGCTCCTCAGGAGGAAGACGATTTGAACTTAGCCAGCGACATCTACTTGAGGCCAAAGACTGAAGTACCGTTCGAATTGTAGGAGGTGCCTAAATTCCCAGGCTCCGTCTGAGCCACCTCCGCAACGCCCCTACGGGCAACCAACCCCCACACGCCGTCAGAAGGAGACTACAGCCGACATAATATCCATTCAAGGCTAACGAGCATTCTATTGACAGAAAATGTAAGTGGCTCGAGTTCTCACTAAAACCCAAAACTCCTTCCCCTCCACCGCTTCATGTTCGCAGTAAACTTTCCTTCGCGCTCACGAACAATTGGAATTCTAATTGAATTTTATAGCTTTTCGAGAGCTCAGGATGAAACGGCGAAATCTCCCTAACTAATTTGGCGCAGCAGCTGTGGCAGGCTGGCCAGGCGATCTGACTGTGTCGTTTGGTGTGAAAGCAATGTTTTGAAGCAGTTTGTGCTAATTCGTTCACAAGTGCCAGGGAACTCAGCCCTCTGGGGTCGTGGTTCCTTACCACCATTTTGTGTACTACCACACTATACTCTTAGGTCAGATATTAGATATATTCAAACTACAAGGAAACTGTAAAGAAGAGTTAAAACCATATCTAACAGTCCATTTGTTGTTCTTCAGTTGATGTGTAGACCTAATATTAGACACAATTGTTTTACTTACATTTGAAATTTAAAAATAATAAATGAGCTCCTTTGAAAAAGGCAAACACCGAAGAGACTGAAATTTGCATCTTGCCATGCGTAAGTGATATAATACACTACGAAACTAAATTTTTATGTTTATAGGATACCATTTTTCTTGATACGTATGTGTTGTCTCTGGCCAACAGTTTTCAAAAACAATTGAATAACTCACTGCATATGCTTTCTTTCTTATTGATTTTTATTGCAAAATTTTAATAAATATTGATATGAATAATTGTAATAAAAATTAATATGAAAGAAAGCATATAGAGAGAATTATTCAATTGTGTTTGAAAATTGTAGGCCAGAGCCAACATATACGTATCAAGATAATTAACGCACAATTATAAACTAAAAATATTTCGTCTGTGTGTAAAACGCAATGAAGTGAGCTGAGCGCGTGCGCACCTGGTAGTCGCGCAGGCGGTGTTGCAGGCGCTCCTTGGCGCCGTCCACCTCCGACGCCAGCGCCCCCAGCTGGCGCTGCAGGTCGTCCAGGTGCGCGGGCCAGCACACCTCGCACAGCACCTGCGCACCGCACCCCCACGCGCACGCGCCTGCCACGGCCTGCTCCACGCACGAGCCCGCGTCCAAAGAAATCACTGGCGCTACAACAGATCTTATTACTGCTAAAGGTTACCGTTTGCAACTTCCATCCCACCACTACTTCAGCCATCTCCAGGAAACAAGGAAAGAGACGTGAAAGTTCTTAGAAAAGTTTCAATGAATTTAACAGGACTTTTCCACTCGTGAAGTTAAAACCAACCAATAGTGTTTAACTACTCGTCTACATACAAACTGCCCCAATCAGGGCGTATCTCAAAAAGTTTATCGCTTTTTCTATCCGATTTTTTTACCGCTTCTACCTTCTGGCCAATCATGTGACTTGTCTGTCTTAGCAGGCGGTGTACACCGACCACTATGTCGATGTCCAATAAACAGCGTATGTACTACAACAACATCTGCTTTTAATCCACGCTTTCAGTTGTTTTCAACATTTGGCTCAATTTGGAACTCTGTTGGACCTTCGGTCCATAACCAAAGGCAAATACCGCGTGGGCAACTCCACCTCACGAGTCGTCCTACTATCTATTCAGTGGCAATAAATGGCCATTTTTAACTCCTCTCTATGCCCTAGGCGACAGTTATTCTGACCGACGTGTAGAGTCTGTATTGTATATTTATGTGTGGTGAAGAGAAACCGCCTTACCCGTGTGCAGCCTCGACTGGGGCGGTGCCCCGGTGGTTAGAGGTACCTGGTTTGGGAAACCCCCGGAATCCAACGTTTAGGTCGGCGCCGAATCTCGTCATCCAGCGGAGGAGGATGACCGCCCTCCCGTGATAAAGCACGCCCTACGCTCGCGGGGCGAGTGAGCGTGTGCGCCTTACCAGCCTGCAGTGCTGGCAGCGCTCGGCGTGGGCGGCGACGGTGGCGCACCGGGCGCAGGGCTGCGGCTGGGGCTCGGCGTCGGCGGGCGCGGGCGCGGGCGCGGGCGAGGGCGGGGGCTGCAGCTCCACCAGGCGCAGCAGCGACTCCAGGTACACGTTGCGCGGCAGCGCCACGACGGCGGCGGCGGCGGAGGCGGCGTCGGCGGCGGGCAGCGCCAGCTGCAGCTCCAGCCCGCACGCGGCGCACCGCAGCACGGCGTACGACCGCCCTGCGCCACACGACCGCCTTGCAAGCCAGCCAGCGTGGCACCCCCCACGCACGACCTCCGGAAGGTACAGCGCACGCGGGAGGCAGGCAATTCCTTCTCAAAAGTTGTAAACTTTCTTCAAACACCGAAGCAATTTTTTTATTTCATGATTGCGTTGGGAACATGAATATTTGTGAGGAGGGTTTTACTCGCGTCCCTCCCCTGAAACACCACCAATCGTTTTAATCCTGAAGCAAAGGCACAAAGTGGCATGAAGCTGAGCAACCTACATGGTTTGATTCCGATTGGCTATGATTTACGTACACACAAGCCAATGAAGCTGCTTAATAAATTAATGTTTCCCTTATTCTTTTGCGAATTGATATGGGCACGGGTGAAAATCACAAATTAGTCGGATCTATCGGACTAACGCGATGGATCTATGGATCTATAGGACTCGGATATACGCGAAATATGCAGAAATAATTATTTCAATACAACCACACATTTATTTTACCATATGATCAAGATGAAAACATTTTACGAGGCTGGTCAGGTGTACTTCCACATGATCGCAAGGAGATGTCTATCGAGACCAAAGGGCGAAGAAATGGACCGGCAAGGAGCTCCGCTCGGAGACGCCTGTGCACGTATCTTTGCCTGAGTCCCCTACACGCCTGCCAACCTAATGCTCCGCGGTTCCCGTCGCAGTTACCGCCCACGAGTTCTAAAACGTGGGGCAAGTAATATACCGCAAACATTTTTCGTGATATTTTTACTTTAACCAAACTTCAATCATCAATCATTTTATAGGGAAAATACTATAAAAGCTATAGTGAGTAAATCATAAAACTAGAAATACAATGATGTATTATTTATTAATAATTTAAGATTAACACGGAATAAAACCTATGTCTAACACATGATTTACAATTTTAGGCTGTTTGTATTCCTTTCTAGCAACTCGTGCAGGGTTCGCGATTGAGGCATGTAGCATCAGGATTGTGATGAATACTTGAAACATCTCTCTCCTGTAATAGTGAGGCTGCATCGTACCTTTCTTCATATGCAGGCGCTCCACCAGGCAATCGGCGCAGAAGGTGTGCTGGCACGGCAACATGCGAGGCTGGCGCAGTCGCTCGCCACACACCAGGCACTCCACCAGATCTTCCAGCGCCCCCGCGGCCATCCTGCGCACACCACGGCCCTTCCTTCACATCAACCCCTCTCTGTACATCAGACACTCCACCGGATCCTCCAGAACACCACGGCCCTCCCTTCACATCAACCCCTCTCTGTACATCAGACACTCCACCAGATCCTCCAGCACACCACGGCCATCCTACGCATACCGCTGCCCTCCCCCTTGAACAAAGCATCCTATGCGCATCGCGCCTCTGCAAATGAACCCCCTCTCCGCCTCGTCCTTTTCGCGCACTCCCCAGCCCCTCCAGATCTCTCACGCCCATCTCGCGCACACCACGGCCTCCCTCCACACATTTACCTCCCCCTTCGCGCCAATTCTACATTATCGCATCTGTGAGCACATTTTCTTACGTCGTTTCTCGAAAATTTGGAACTCTTTGGTGAAAATGTAATTCAAACAAACATTTCATAAACGCTCGAACGTCATTTTCTGAAATTTGGCTCCTAATGTTTGAAATAAAAAGTGTATGTACGAAGAGGAGCCTCTAATATTATTTTGGTCATATTTCAATCCTCTCGGTAGAGGTCCAAAAAGTGCGAAATGTTTTAAAAATGTGTTTTATGCGCCAATAGATGTGCACTGATAAGAGCGTGGAGCAACAGAGGCTGGCACAGGCTGAAGAGATACGTGTGTGGCGTGTGCCTTGGTGGCGCTTGCGGCGAGGAACTCACGGGGCGGCGCGCGGGGCGGCGGCGTCGAAGGAGAAGACGTTGGCGGCGCGCACCAGGCGGTGCTTGTGGCCCTCGCGCCGTACCTCCACCACCGCGGGCGCCGCCGGCGCCACCACGCGCTGCCGCTCCCCGCCACCGCTGCGCCTGCGCACGCGCCCAGCGCCACTCGTTAGAGCCCCTTCACACAGGCATTGGCTTAAGGCAAGGCCTTTGCACAGCGCCACTCAGCAGCGCTTCCGAGAGACGCGTCTGCTGGCGAAGCAGTACTTCAAGGGCCCCTAACCCTTAACATTGCAAGATTTAAAAAAAACTGCTTCAGACAGAAGACAAATAAAACGAATGACGATAAAATTAAATATTACCAAAAACCCTGGATGCTTACAGAAACATAGTAATACATCTATCTAGTGAAAACGTGTTTATTGTACGTACCGGTTAAAACAAGAGCGAGCATTTAGTGTTTTTTGCGTCTTATACATCATACTGTTGACGTGAACGATATTAAACAAGTGATGCTCGAGAAGGGACATAAAGTGAGAAACATAATGAAGGTCCGCCATAGCTTAACAAAGTTACCACTATCGTCATTTTCATAGACTTTAAACCAAACGCGAGGAAGAAAGAAATCTACAACTTTAAGTGTCTTCTGAAATGAGTTGTCGTGTTTGAACCACCGCACATGAAGCGAGACCGTGCAATGTAAAATTGCCAAAGGTAAGAACATACCAGAACCTACTGCGCCCATCCATTCAATGCGGTAAAGAACATGCACCCGAAAAATGTGAAGAAACAAGGGAAACAGCCAACGTGCGCGCTGTATGGAGGCAATTATGCGGCAAACTATAAAAGTTGTCGAATTTACCAGAAAATTCTAAAAAGAAAAGGCCACAATAACTCAAATAAACAGAGAAGAATCTCTCATAATAAAATGGTGATTCAGCCTCAAAACCCATAACAATTCAACAACGAATCCCTAAATGCACAACAGAAGCTCCCAAGTAAATAGAAGAACGAATGCAGATATTGTACAATCAAAGCACGCAGAACAACATCAACCACATTGTGATGACAGCCTCTCCATTCTTAACATCATCCAATATTCCTTTGAATGATTTGAAAATGATCTGATGCAACAAAGTCAACAGATAAATGCACTTCTTAACTTAGTATCGACTTGAGTAACTAAAATATCCAATGTATAACTTTTTTCGAATAGCAACCTGAAACGCCAACGGTCTGGCGCAACATCGCCAAGAAATCGAAATATTTCTCTCAAAAAATTAAATTGATGTATTCTGGATCCCGGGAACTCACTTCACAGAGAAGAACTTTTTAATTTGAATTGAAAAACTATACACTGTATGACACAAAACATTCGGATGGCAAAGCGCATGGAGGTACGGAAATATCAAACACCAAGAAGAAAGTGCATTTCAATGAAAAGACATTGAAGCATAACAATAGAAGTCTGTCAAGGACCACTTAGAGCAAGTGCTATAAATTGTCCTCCGAGATTCAATATAGATAAGGCACGATTTAAATTATTTTTCAATAAGCGTCGCATTCGTTTTGTTTGCGAAGGAGATTTAAATGCCAAACACGTGCAGTGGGGATGGAGGTTCTGCGAGGGGGCGCGAACTACAAAAAGCGCTAACATCGTTGCAACTACTTCGTACTAACCATATCTACAGGAGAACCAACTTACTGGCCAACTGATATAAACAAAATACTAGATCTAATTGATGAATAGCAGATCACTACTCTGATGTGACAGGGAAATGTAAGTGTGAAATTAGAACCTAAAGAGCATTTGATATAAAGCGATTAGCTTCGCCTCAAGAGTCATCTACAATAGAGCATCACGTTTGATTTTGAGGGTAACATTGTTCAGGTATGCCAAGTACCTCAGACCTAAAAGTCTATGTCACAATTCACGAAGTGCAGATGGATTAGCAATTTGATAAGGAAAAGGCTGAAACATTTACTTTAAAAAACACAAAAAGGGGAGTAAACATGGAGGATAATCTGAAGAAAAGTTACTTGGTTTCAATAATAGCAAACCGTTACAGTATTGTCCTGTTTAGATCAGTGCAAGCGAGTTAAAATCAGCATTGCCATACGAGAATATGCATCTTCAGCAAAAGCGACTCGTTGGCTGGCAACTGAGTGGGCGGCTGCTTGCGATAATTCACCTAATACATTCCTAGGAAGCCAGATGGAGTTTCAACAAAACTATTGATAGTAATCGCGCAAAGTTTCTTGAACGATGACCCTGCTTCCCCCTCTCTGGCACAATAAACAGTTGAAGGCAAATGCTCGAATGACAATATTTCAAACACATTGTCACTGGTGCGAAATAGAAACTATTTTCTGTTGAAGATAGAATTTCCGTAATGTCATAACTACTATCCCCACTATAGCCGCATTTCTTCAATCCATCATTGAAGTTAAGTTGCGCGAGTAATATAACAACTTGTAATAGAAATAATTGAAATCAAAGGTGAGCACGGCGCTCACCAGTTAATCTACGGCGGGTTAATTGCTCAAAAAACACAACAAAACCGCTTTCTGCGTTTTGAAGCGCTTATGGAAATACTAGGTTGTTCGAAACATAAGAACAGTCAATCGCATTTAATTTGAAGACAAAAATTTCAAGGAAATCGATACGAAACAATGTCAATATGAGACAGGTGTACCTGGTATATATGGCAAAACACAATAACGTTGTAATTTGCGTTTATTATAGTTTATCTATTTTCTCTTTATCTAGTTATGAGAGTAATCGAATTTTTTACAAAATACTGTAATACACTTTTTATAAAATACTGTACGACAATTTTTATTTTAGAATTATCTTCTTGCAATCGCACCGCAATCTACACCTGACAAATGACAGATTTGTCACGTTATCACATCCATCTTTTCTGACAGTTCTATAATCTTGATTTTCTTTTATCGCAGGAAAGGATTTGTGTACAACAGTTGAAAGTGAAGAGGTATTTTTTATCTGAGGCTCAAAGTCGAAGCTATTTATTGGTAAGAAGCACTGAAAACTTTTGTTAGTGTAAAGCTGCATTTAAAATGTTTCATAAGAACATTTACTCCTATATTTCGCTTTTCATTTCATTTTGCAATCAAATCTGCTTATTCATACTAATCATTGTTCTTAAAATGAAATTTTAATTAATGTTTTTAATACATTTCAGCAATGTAAATATTGTTAAAAAGTGTTTTCTGTTGTTTAATTGTCACTTCACCAATGGGCTTGTTGGCAAGCCTTGGAAGTGTTTGCATTTCTCCAACTCCTCATGTACCAAGAAAAGTACAAAATAATGAAGTGAACAAAAATTTAACTGCCTGGACATATTACTACCTACAAAACCTGCAAAATGGCCCCCGATAGCTACTTGTAGATGTAGACAAATGAACGAGAACTCGTTGAGTTAAGAAAAAATTACGCGTTATTTGCAGGCTTCATAATTAGTAAAGAAAGAAAGAAAGAAAGAAAGAAAGAAAGAAAGAAAAAGTGTGTACGAAAAGGTTACGGTGCAGCACCGTGATGTTTGACGTCTTTCTCCTGGCGGTGCGGTCCTCCGGCACCTTCTCCTCACACCCAATTTAAATAGTTTTCGCAATCCAGTGGTAACGGTTTGGACGCATCCCTCGTGACCAATTTATGGGACATATATTTTCAGTCTAATGGTGTTTTTAACTCTTAAAGTCAAACATTTTGGATTTGTAACTCAAGTTATTGCAGGGATGTGTACCCGAAAAATTAACAAAAATGTTTTGATTATGAAAATTTAGCATCGAATATCTATAAAATCACTATAAAACAACCGATAGAACAGAGGCAGTTACTCATTCACCTGAAAAATCGAATTTTGGCTCTCTAGTAATTTCACTGAACTAAAATTATTTGCAGAAGATATATTTTCAATCATTAGCGCTTTGTGTCTTATACACGGCACCTGTTAGTGCCGTTTAGTATTAGGGCCTACGTATCATGATGCAGTACCAAAATTAAAAGTTTTATAGGACAATTAATACTATGTACTTACATAGAATCCATTTCGTTTCTCTCTTCTCAGCAAGGATCAAAAGTGCCTCAGTGCCCTTGGCGCGGAAATCGAAGTCAAAAGCACCGCCAGCTGCGCACTGAAGATCAGAGGATTCAAGAGTGCGGATGAATCGCTTCGCAGATTGCCGGAGGGTTGAGGCCGACTGGACTTGGCCTGCGCTGGACATCCACGGCCCCACCCCCCCCCCCCCCCCAAGCAATCGAATCCGATCTAATCGCGCACGGCACTCGAGCGACGCGCCTCCGCAGCGCAGCGCCTCGCGCATTATCGCCGCCGCTCTGGGCCCGCAGCAGACCGCATCGCCGCGAGCAAAGAGGGAAGAGGCCACACTGTGGAATGCGGTTTTCCGGTGTCTCGAAATGCCTGTAGGTGCCACGAGCCGAGAGGGGTGACAGCAGTTCGCTACGAGATCAGCTGCGAGCCCCATTTCTTCTTTTATTCAATGCTCTGAAGTAATTTAACCCGTGAAAACGTTATTTTGTTACCATCATTGTAAGCCATCACTTTAACGAGTTCGAATTACCTAATAAAGAAATACATTGCATACAATTCAATACTTAATTTAAAAAACAGTACTTATACGTATTAAGAAAAATAATGAATTAATTCAATTTCCTTCAAGTTTCTTGCTTCAAATTTTAATTTTTATATTGCTCAATATGAACGGGTTTCGTTCAAGTAAGAATATCTTCCACACAAGATTTTTCTTGTTCATTTCCGTTTAAAGAGAAAATTCAAGTAAACATTTAAAAACTGGTTATTTATCACATCTTTTCCTGGTAAATATTATAACCTCACTCAGTTCTACGCTCTGTAGTGTTTTCCTGCAAATGCCTAAATGAATAACAAATGAAGGAGTAGAAATGTGTCCGAGAAAAGTCGCTCGCCGACCGACTCGAGTGAGGAACTCTTTCGCCTCAGCACAGGCGCACGAGAAAACACTTTCGAGTGCGAGGAGGCCTACAAGTGTTTGATTTTGCACATTTCTCGCAGCGCATTCCTCGGCGTAGTCTGTTGCGAGCGCAGCCTCTACTCTGCAGAGCCCCAGCGAAGCGACGGCGTGGATCCGAAGGCTGCGGACGGGGCGACACAGAAACGCCTCCCGAGCAGTCGGTCGAGGTCCTGCGGCAGGTCAATGAAATGTCATTTGTTTTCTTTTCACTTTAGGAAACCGCCGTTTAGTATAGACATTAATTTTATCTTATGACAGAAGGAATTGACCTATTTTTATACGTCTTTTCTTTTTTTGCATTTTTTTCGATTTGAATTGAATTGAATTGAATTTGCCTTATTTTACGTGGCGATTTCGACAAATACGTCATTTTGAATGCATTTTTCGCCGATGTCATTGATTATAATATAATTTTAATGGTATTCGCTTCAAATAATATTTACTCCATGCAACAAATGTTCCCAGGATTCCTGCGTATCCTATTCGATTTCTTCGCTCAGAAATTGTAGCCGGTTCACCAGATTTCGCGATAACTAAAGACAGAGATTTCCTGGTCCTCTCCAAACCAAAATATTGCAAGCCGAGTACACTTGAACGAATAGAAGAAGCTTCGATTACATCAATAACGTATCCAACGGTTTGATTTGTTCATCCGAACTGGCTTTTATCACAATTCTTACGTCATTTTTCTTTGCTTTTATGACGTTTTATAAACAATTTAAGGGCATTTTCTTGAACATTTTTGGTGACGTTTTAAGTCATCAAAAACCGCCCCTCGTCATAAGAGATTAATGTATTCAATTAGAAACAATTAACTAGTAACCACAGTAGCACACACTTTCTCGCATCCCTCACTTCAGCTATCATTTGACAAATTCAAACGAAGCGCCAGAGGCAAATATCTGCAATTATTTCGATAGTCAGGAACAGTAGTCCTTTCTTTCTTCTACAAAAGAAACGAACATGAATAAATCATACCTGTTACAATATTTGGAGCAAATTGTACATACAAGCAAGGATAATTTTTCATATAAATTAAACACCCGCAAGAGAAGGCATTGGCTTATGAATGCAAAAACCATGTTACAAATCTATCTCCTATTATTATTATTTAAATATGAAGGTCGTTCCAAACGTTTTCAGAAAGTTAATGTAGCCTAGCAATGGTAATCTAATCACCTTCGAAGTAGGACTCTCGCACATCGTTCCTGCCATCGTTGTAAGCAGCAGAAGATGGCTTCTTTCGGCACCTGTCGGAGCTGAGCTATCGCACCCGATTTTACAATCTCCACAGGTGCAAAACATCTCCCACTGGGACCCATTTTGAGGGTAAGGAACTGCCAATAGTCACTGGAGAGTACGGTGGATGAGAAGTGATAAGAATATTGTTGGCCAGGAATTTCTGTACATGTGATGTGTGGCTTGGGGCGTTAATGTGATGCAGACCCCACTTTTCTTGCCACTAGTTCCGTTGCGTCCCCCAAACCGCATCATGAAACTCTGCGAAACTGCGCGTAGGCATTTTCAGTAACGATTGTCCAGGCCTCGATAGAGCAGCACCGAAGCGACTCTGAGGCCATTTTCCCAGTTTGCACATGAGCTTGATGTTCGAACTGCGCCATTACGCCGACTGACAACCACTCGCCTCCACAGGACACAGAGCAATGACACCATTGCGCATGAAAAGGGTCTAGACCAATTCTGCCCGCGTGCGAACATGCCCAGCCCATCACAAGACTGTGGACCCTGACTTGGCCACTTTGGCGATGGCAAGGCAGTTTCAGGAGTTTTCTGAATGCCCTTCGTATTATGCCGGAGACACAATAGAAACGTCTGCACGAAATCAATTCTGTTAGAGCAAGTACATCATCGCAAATTCAACATCTGAGTATCGTCTCACCGTGTGCCGTGTGTGAAATATATTCAAACTCTACAGGATGGACCACCGAAGTTGGCAGCAGCAAATATCTTTAAACCGGTTTAAGGTATCGAGATACTATTTGCGCCATGTTGTAACAGATGGTAGAGCAAACAACATATTTCGTTTGTTATAAGTACCGTATGTAATTTTAGAGATACTGACACATCTGTGGTTTTTGAATGAAAGTATTTTTTCTACATCATTCTTAAGTTCTTAAAAATGAAATGCAGTAATATAAATATTGATAATACTCGATAAGTACTTCTTTTAAAAACTGCGATTAGGGCTTGGCAAAGGCCAGCAAAGGCACTGCGCAAGGGCAGCTGACCCGCGCGCTGCTTGCAAATCGCATCGCGAGCGGCGGAAGCAGAATACTAAAAGAATTCTTATAGAATCTATTAATGTTTTCTTCTTTTTTTAATTATTTCAACTTGCAACTTTGCAACAGAATTGTTAAAAAATAATTGAATAAAAAGGAAATAAATGTACTGTTTTCTCCTCAGTGTACATGTGTTTTTTTTCTTTTCCCCTGAAATTCGACTGGCTCCCCAAATGTAAATTTAATAAAGGTATTTAGATACACGTGTCTGCTGAAATCAATATGATTTCGAACGTCCCTCCTTAGCGCATGCAGAACTTGTGAAAGTCCAAATCCGAGATCATAAGTAATTTCCTGTTACAGCATAAGAAATCCTGTAATCGGCGAACTTTCTTGCTTTCCAACAGGGTGCGCTGACTCACGATGTCAGCAATGTCAGCTGTCCTTGTGCGCAGCGGCAAGACAATTACCTAGTCTTAATTGCCCTGTTCTTGCAAAAAATACTTATTATTAACAATATTTATATCATTGCCTTTCGTTTTTAAATAACTTTGGGATGATGTAGAAAAAATATATACTTCCATTTAGAAAACCAAAGTTGGTCAATATCTATAAAATTACATACGGCACAAACAAAACAACGAAATATGTTATTTGCCTCACCATTTGCAATAACATGGTGCAAATAGCATCTTGATACCTCAAACCGTTTTCAAGATACTATTTGCTGTGGCCAACTTAGGTAGTCCACCTGCATAGTACGCAACGGTGTCATTTCGTCTTATCCTTCAGAGTAAAACAATAAGGAACACACTGGTGGAGGACAGCTTCCCCAAAGGCGACAGTTGCAAGAGCTGCGACTGGAAACGTTGTCCATTCATTTACAAGCATACATCAGAAAGTCCAATTTTATAGTCAAACTGGCAGAACCCAGCAGACGTCGTCCTGCTCTTTCTCTTTCCCCCATTTCGCATTCTCCCCTATCTCTCTCCCTTTCTGTGTTTCTCTCTCCACACTTCTCCCTCCCTCTCTCTGCCTCACCCCCTCTCTCTCTCTTTCTTTCTCTCTGAGTTGCTCTGTCTTTACCTGAGCACCCTAATAATCTCCGTGAAAAACATGTAGATGAGTCACCTTTCATGGAGATCGATCACACGATGTCGAAGTTCATCGACCTGATACATACCAACATCCATTTTTATATATAAAGATTACAATAAAAAATCTAACATGTATTCCTCTTTTTGTGTTTTATCTAATTTTAATTTTATTTTACGTCAAAAACAGTTAAAAAGTATGTATGGCGTACTACGAGGACAAGTGTACGTATTGTGTGCACGTTTTCTTAATTCTGGAATCCCTATCCTAAGTAATAAACAAGTTGAACTGTGAATACCGGAGAAATAAGCGTTTTGGGGAACAATTGATAAGAATAATTTTCTCTCCTATGTAATAATTTTTTTTTCAAGGACACATCACCTATAGATTTGGTTTATTTATTTATTTATTTATTTATTTACGTCAAAAACAGTTAAAAACTTTGTGGGACGTGCTATGGGGAGAAGTAAATTTGAAGTTACATTTATGTCTGGAAGCAAAACAAGGGACCATCTCAGCATTTTCTCGAGGATCAGGGAAACTGGACGAAAACCTGAGAAATGCGTGTTTTCCGCGTCTCTCCGAAATCCCTGTAGGTCACAGCCCAGAGGGTGACAGCAGTTTCGCTACGAGATCAAGCTGCTAGCCCCATTTCTGTGTTTCTTAATTCAATGTCCGAGTCATTATTTAACCTGTGAAAATTTGTTATTTTCGTACCAATTCATTGCTATATCCATCACTTTACTACGCAGCTTCGAATTACCCTAATAAAAGATAACATTGCATACAATTCAGAACTATTTTAAAAAACAGTACTTTATACGTATTAAGAAAAATATATGATTAATTTCGAATTTCCCTTCAATTTCTCTTGCTTCAAATTTTAATTTTCATTATTGCTCAATCATGAACGGGTTCGTTCAAGAAGTATATACACACAAATTTTCTTGTTCATTTCTCTTTAAAGAAAAATTCAATATAAACATTAAAAATATCTTTATTTATCCATTTCATCTTTTTCCTGGTAAAATTATTAAACCTCACTCACTTTTCTACGCTCTGTAGTTGTTTTCCTTCAAAAGGCCTAATATGAATAACAAAATGTTAATTGTTACTTCGTAGTCCTAAATGTTCGTCCGAGCAATGAGAAGTCCGCTCGCCCACCGACTCGATGATGAAAAACTCTTTCCGCCTCACACAGCGCACGAAAAATCACTTCGAGTTCGAAGTGACCTACAATGCTGTTTGATTTGCACATTTCTCCAGCGCATCCCGGGTCCTAAGTCATGTTTGCGAGCGCAGCCTTCACTTGCCTCTATTCAGACGCCCCAGCGAAGCGACCGCGTGATGCCCGAGATGTCTGCGACCGCGTCACATCAGAAGCCCTCCCTGAACATTCGGTCAGAGGTCCTGCGGCCCATGTCTAATTAAAATGTCATCTGTTTTCTTTTCAGCTATGAAACCAGCCGTTTAGTATATACATTAAATTTTATCTTATACAATATAGGAATCTGACCTAGTATTCATACGTCTTTCTTTTTTTTGCATCTTTTCATTGGAATTGAATTATATTAGTAATTTGCCTAATATTCTTACCTGGCGATTCGACAATAAGTCATTTTTAATTGTTTACATTTTCACCGATGCCAATTGATTAATAATTTCAATATAAATGTTTAATTGCTATTCGCCTTCAAACAATATTCTGTACCCAGCCAACAAAGGCTTCCCCACAAGATTCCTGCGTAGCCTATTCGATTTCTTTCGCCTCAGAAAATTGTAAGCGGTATTCACCAGATTTCGCGATAATCTAAGACCAAGATTTCCTGCATCCC